CATTGACTTCCTGTCTTCCAGGGACTTGCTGGAAGACATCATAGTTTCATGATGAATATTGTGAATGGAAGAGTAGGAAAATAAGCACATGGTTACTATTCATATATTTCTAGAAAATGTTCATTAACTTAGGACCTTTGTAAGTATTCAAGTTGACAGGGCCATTACTATGCTATCAATAATTCCCCAAATTTTATTAAATGAGAGAAGACTCCAAACTTTCATTGTTCTGTCAAAGACCGTGTGAATTCAGATGTCATTCATTGCTGGAGAGTGAACTCCAGGATCACTCTTCCATTGCCTTTGATTATATAACCCAAGTTTTTGCAGTATACAAATATTTTGCATAATTTTACAGGCTTCTTTCTATTTCCCACCATTGTATTTCTTCTTTTTTTCACTTGAATTGACAAAATTATTAATTTTGTAACATGTAATTAATTTATGTTTGTAGAAAGTCTTTATAATTTAATAAAATGTCATTAGTAGTATATCTCAATTACAAAGTTTTAATTTCATAGCATGAAAAGTTATCATCCTAGGATATACCTAAATTATTTTTTTCATACAACACTAATATAATCATTACAGGTTTAACATTCTTCTTTTCCCACTTATTTTTCAATTTTAAATTTGTTTCCAAAAGGAATGGAATTTAGTAATATATCTCTTTAATCTATAGAGCAGGCTTCATATGACAGTAGATACAGACACAGTCATGGACAGAGGGGTGTTTTAATGTATACATACTCATCACTATTTAAGTATCTATCTAATACATATGAGAGTGTTTGCATTTTATTTTGAAAAAAGGAAAACCCAATGAAACACAAATGATTGATGCAGTTTATCTCAGATGTTCCTGTTTATCTCCTTCCATTGTGCTATCTTATATTATTTTGTTAACTAGACGCCTGGTGCATGACATTTTTGCACTGGGGGGGGAGGGGCTCTCAACCCAGCCTGTGCCCTCTCATGGGGAGTGGGCCTAGGCTGGCAAGTGGATATCCCCCTGAGGGGTTCTTAGCACTGCTGTGGAGGCAGGAGAGGGTCCCATCACCGCTGCTGCAATCACCTGCCATGAGCCTGGCTTCTGGCTGAGTGGTGCTCCCCCTGTGAGAGCACACTGACCACGAGGGGGCAGCTCCCGCATTGCACCTCGGCCCCCTGGTGGTCAGTGTGCATCATAGTGACCAGTCATTCCCAGTCGTTCTGCTGTTAGGGTCAATTTGCATATTACCCTTTTATTATATAGGATAGAGGCCTGGTGCACAGATGGGGGACAGCTGATTTGCCCTGTAGGGTGTCCAAGATCAGGATCAGGGTCCTGCTGGGGTGACTGGCCAGCCTGGGTGAGGGGCTGAGGGCCATTTTCAGACTGCCACACCACCTTCAGGGTGGGGGTCCCCACTGGGGTGCCTGGCCAGCCTGGGTGAGCGGCTGATGGCTGTTTACAGGCTGACCAAGCCCCCCAGCGGGGAACCTCACCCGTGGGTGTGTGACCAGCCTGGGTGAGGGGATGAGGGCTGTTTTCAGGCTGGCCACATCCCCTTCAGGGTGGAGGTCCCTGCTAGGGTGCTTGGCCAGCCTGGGTGAGGGGCTGATGACTGTTTTCAGGCTGGCCACAGCCCCTTCAGAGTGGGATGGTCTCTACTGGGATGCCTGGCCAGCTTGGGTGAGGGGCTGAGGGCTGTTTTCAGGCTGGCCACAGCACCTTCAGGGTTGGGGGTGGTCCCGCTGGGGTGCCTGGCCAGCCTGGGTGAGGGGCTGATGGCCACTTTCAGGCTGGCCACGCCTCCCAGTGACCCAAGCCCCAGCCTCTCCTTTTTTTTCTTTTTTCTGGGATTTGTCTATCTTCTACAATTAAAACTTTGTAGCTTTGAGCAGAGCCCAGGTTGACTGGAATCTTGGGTTGCCTCTGGCAACCCAGGCTCCCAGCCCCTCCTTGAGCGCAGGCCTCTGCTGGATAGAAGCAGATATCAGGTATTTATTTATCTTGTATAATTGAAACTTTGGAGCCTTAAGCGGAGCTCGGGGCCAGCAGGGCAGGGGGGAAGCTTGGTTTCTTCCATTGCCGGGGGCAACCCAAACCTCCTGCTCACTCTAGCTCTGTGACTGTTGCCATCTTTGTGACGGAGCGATGGATTGCATATTACTCTTTTATTAGATAGGATTCCTTTTGCACCAATAGGTGGGAGAATGTAAAACAGTTTTGTCTCTGTTTGATGAGCCAGAGGTATAGATCAATTTGAACCATAGAGCAAACTTTAAAAGGGTTTCAAATTTTTTTCTCCTTCCTGACATTGTGCTCTCATTCTTAATGAACTGGTTCTTTCTTCCTTTTATTTTTCAGACAAGGATGGACAAGAAAAAGGCAAGTCCAATTAATGTATTTCACTGTGTATGTAATTCTTTCATCTTTTCTCTATGTTGGCTCCCCCTTTTTCATTTTTGCTTTATCTTTGCCTTCAATTTTCAATGATCATATTTTTAACTAACATACTCTACATTTTTATCATTTTGCTTTGTTATATTCTCAGCTGAAGTTGCCATCATCAATTGTTATTCAGTTTCTCCCACACTACCTCTAATTTCTCCTACTGTTGCAATCAATGTGGACAGATCCATTCTTTCAATATAATTTTATTAACAATTTACCTGATAAGTTTTGCACTTTTAATATTTCTGATGTATGAATTTTCTCCAACAATGACTCAGGTAATTTGATTTTTAAATCTTCCACTGTCAGTACCTCAATTCTCTTTCTTTCAGTGATTTTGTTTACATTAGCTCATTTAGGTATAAATTAAAATAGAAATGCAAATACAAGCAGGTTTTGTTCACAGGTGGACAAAAATACTGTGATTAGATATGTCTGGAAACTAACCCCACATTTTCATAAGACCAGTGGTTCAGTATTCTCTAATTCAGTGCTTTAAGCAACTTTATACCACATAGCTATACAATAATAAGAATTGACTAATCTATAATAATAAAAGGATAATGTACTAATTATTCCAGATGTCCTTCCAGATGACCTTTGAGACTAAGCTGGGGCTGCAAGGGAAGCCTGGCTCTCGGGTGCCTGCCAGTGGCCAGAGGGAAGCCTGGGTCCCCTGGCAGACAGATGGAAGCCTTGGTCCCAGGTGCCTGCTGGTGGCCAGAGGGATGCCCAGGTCCCCGGTGCCAAAGAGAAGCCAGTGCCAGCAGCCGGGGGAAGGAAGGCCTACTCTTGCATGAATTTCATGCATTGGGCCTCTAGTCAAATAATAAAGGTCTAAATAATATTGAGTATTAAGGGATTAAGAACAATTTAAAGGTAGTCATCATACTAATATTTCTAAGTTCTTTTCTCCATTTAATAAATTTTCTCCTTTTAAACAAACTTTTATGTATGGACTTCTCCTATATTAAGTTTTCTACATTTATGTCCCATTCTTTCCTATTTCTTCTTTTTTCATTCCATATTGTTCATTTCTCCCTTATAAGCATTGGGTTGTTGTTGTTGTTGTTTGATTTTTTTTTTTTTTGGCCGAAGACTTGTTATATTTTCACTAAGCAGTGGTGAGATGAAGAGCATTAGATTGAAATACTCAGAGTTTCTCCCTCTGCCCACTCTCTCTCTCTCATGTCTCTCACATAGTAGAGCCTATTTCTATGTAACTAATACTTCCCCAAACCTTAAGAGATGGGAGTAGTCAACAAACTTGCTGAGTAAGTTTCTGTATCCATTGTCCTACCTGAGATGTGCAAATTCTGATGCCATTCTTTGGTGAAGTGTAAACATGAGGCTCAATCTTCCACTCCCCTAGATCATATGGCCTGAGGGTTCACAAGTATACAAATATTTCCCTTTATATTGAATTTAAGAAGTGACACTGGTTAACCCCTTTATACAGGTTTGGTTTGCAAAATTCCACAGCATATCATCTGTTCACTGTATTATGTTTTCACCACCCCAAGTCAAATCTCCATCCATCACCATTTAAGCCCCTTCCAACTCCCCAACCCCTCCCTCCAGAAATCATCATGCTGTTGGAGGGATTTAGTAAAAAAAAGAGAAAAACACAGCAGTATACAAATTATTTTACACAATTTTTCCTGGCTTATTTTCTACCCACCATAGTGTTTATTCTTTATATTTATGCATTTTATTGGCATAGTAAATAATTCTACAAAATGCAAACATTTTATGAATACAGAAGAATTCTTTAAGTTATATATATATATCTATATATATATATAAATTCTATTTTTTTCTGTAAATGACTTGAGAAGCTAACATCTTTAGATGTTTCTGAAACTATAATTTTCCCCTTTATCAATAAAATTTTTAATATATTTTGTTTTTAGATTGAATGCTATTTGAGAATATATCTTTTTAATGTATGTGGCAGGCTTCCTCTGACTAGTGCTGCAGATGCAGTTTTGGTCAGATGGATGCTTTTACTGTATTCTCCTCATTACTTTTAAAAATATCTGTCTTGTACATGTGAGTGTGTTTGCATTTTATTCTGCAGAATGGTATAAGGTTCAATGAATGACAAATGATTGATATAATTTATACCACAGAAAGGCGTATCTACTTTCTCTCATGGTGTCATTTCCCATCTTAATTAATCTTGCTCCTACAACTGGATGATGGGAGGAAGGCTCAATTCAAGTCCTATGAGTTATGCTTATCTCTTGAAGTTTCCAATCTTCTGTCTTTGTTCTATCCTATAAAAGTAGAATAGAATTCAGTAATACAATAAAATATACTTTAGTAAGCAAAGAAGCATTATTTTTCTAAATTTCCATATTTTCTAAAGTTCAAGCCACGAGTTCTTCCCCTTCTCCTCCTTCCTTCCTGTCTTTATTTTAGCCACACTTCTTCCACTTTTCATCCTCTCCTCCCACCTTTAGTTGATTTCCCATTTCTAGCTATCTTTCACCTAAGTTTTATCATCATGTTTGGAAAAATGGAATATGAAGATATAGTAGAGAAAGAGAAGGTCCAAATGAGTCAGAAGAAGAAATATGACAAAAACAGAGTTAAATGGAAAAGGCAATGAGAGAAAACACAAAAGGAAAGAAAAAAAATAATGATTTTCTCTTTTTTTCTTTTGCAGTTAGGCCTAGATCATTCTATGCTGGTGAGTGACATGAACTCTGATGAACAATACACTATTATCAAAGATATCTTAAATTAACATGTAGTGTGTGCAAGAAAATATATAAAAATCAAAGAAACTCCAAAACATACATTTCATTAAATCAATAGATTATTCAATATATTAACAAAGGTGTTTGAAATATTAAATTATAATGGTTTTATTTAACTTTACTTTTAATGTTGATATCCCCATCCCCCCTCTCATTGCCCATTTCCACCCAGCCCCACTCCCCCTTCCCTCTGGCCATCACCACACTGTTGTCTGTGTCTACAGGTTCTGCATAATGTTCTTTAGATAATCCCATCACATTATTTTATCCATCCCCCCTTCCATGCTGAGAGTTGTCAGTGTTCCACATATTCATGCCTCTATTTTTATTTTGTTTGACAGTCAATTTTATCATTAGAGTCCATATATAAGTGAGATCATATGGTGTTTGTGAAATACTGCATGGCAGTAAAAAATAAAACCTCTTACCTTTTTTGACAGCATAGATGGACCTAGAAATTATTATGCTAAGTTAAACAATCCAGTCAGAGAAAGACAAATAGCAGCTTTATAAAAATATTGTATCTCACTTTATGCTCTGATAGATAAAGGATGAGGAAACCATAGCAAAAAACATGTATTTGGCTATACAGGTAGATTCTTTATTTCTTTCCAATATTCTAAATAGGTTAAAGACACTTACCAGATGCAAAGGTCAGATGAAGAACATAAGGGTAGTTAGTTCTTCAAGTCAGATATAACTCAGCGGGCTGTGAAGTGCAAGTACATGAACAAATATTTCCATTGGTACTCTCATTCCTGAATTAATGCTTCGGAATTCATACTCAGATATTCTGGGAGGACAGGAGCTTTATCTTTCAGATAGTGGGTTTTCATGTTGATATGTTTCTTGCAGCTTGGAAGAAAGAAGAATCGAGAGCTGGTGAGTGTGTGGTGGTACAGAGGGACCCTACTCCTTTGGAGGTACTGTCAGGGGAAGATGAGTGGAGGAGCACTGGGTCTGCCCAGAACCAGAGAAGCCCTCACAGAATGGGGATCCTCGGGCCCAGGCAACTGAGAATTTCCAGGAAACATGATGGTCCATTTGTCTTTGCAGTAAATGTGATCCTGGATGCAGCCACTGCCCATTCTGCCCTCCTCCTGTCTGAAAATGGGAAACAAGTAACCTGGCAAGAGACTTGTCAGGATCTACCCAGCTCCGCGCAGAGATTTGACTCCCTTCCCTGTGTGCTGGGTCAGCAGGGCATCAGCTCAGGGAAATGCTACTGGGAGGTAGAGGTTGGGGACACACAGTCCTGGGACCTGGGAATTTGTAGGGATAATGTAAAAAGGAAGGGGAGGGTCACAATGTCACCAGGGAATGGTTTCTGGGCCATCAGGCTCTACAATGGGGAATACTGGGCTCTTACCTCCCCAGAAACTCATCTTACTCTAAGAGAAAGACCCCTTAGTGTGGGGATATTCCTGGATTATGAGGCTGGAGAAGTATCTTTCTGTAACATGACAGATGGGTCCTATATTTTCAGCTTTCCCAAGAACACATTTAATGGTGTCCTAAGACCACTTTTCAGACTTTGGTCCTCTGGCTCAGGGCCCTTGAGCATCGTACATGTGGAGGAGAAGTGACTATGTACTTCATAGGCCTACCCTTCCTTGAGTAATAATGACATTGGGCCCCAAAGATGATCACAATTCTCCCAGCAGCCACAATTATTTTTTTCTATCTTACTGATTCATTCTCAAGATGGAGCTATGGCACACAGACTGATTAAAATCACTTGTATTGCTTTCTCTTGCCTAATTGCTCTGGCTAAGGTTTCCAGAACCATGTTGAAGAAAAGTGGGCATCACTGTGTTTCTGATCTTAGAGAAAAAGCTTTCAACTTTTTACTACTGACAATGATATTAGCCATGTCATATGTGGCCTCCAATACGTTGAGGTAGTTTTCCTTGATACTCAGTTAGTTCAAAGTTTTTATCATGAATGCATATTGAATATTGTCAAATTGATTTCCTTCATCTATTGAAATGATCATATATTTGTCCTTCATTTTCTTAACATGATTGATTTGTGAATATTGAGCCATCCTTGCACTTGTGCAATAAATTTTATTGATCATGGTGTATGATCTTTTAAAAGTTGACTCTATTGTGCTAATATTTTGTTGAGGATTTTTGTAACTGTGTTCATCAACGATATTGGGCTAGAGTTTTCAACTTTAGAGTATCCTTGTCTAGTTTTGGTATACAGCAATTCTGGTCTCATAAAGTAAATTTGAAAGCATTCCCTGATTGTTGGAATTTTGGAAGAATTTTAGAATTATAGGTATTAATTCTTCTTGAAGTGAAAAATCAAAACCCCAAGACCAGCCTCCTGAGATCCACCACTTCTTGGGCTTTAATTCCCCACCTGAACTTGTCAGAATTTAAACTCTAATGAGATGAGGAAAGAGATATTCATGGGGATTCTCTAGCACTGACCCTAATTCTACATGGAAAATCAACAATCATGGTATGTTCTTATTCCCTGAGACTCCAGTATATCCCATCTTCAAACACCTACATGAATGGACCCATTATGGAAACAATGCTTTAGTGGACCTCATTAGACATCATTTGAAGGGCCCTCACTTACAAAGGACCATTCAGAACGTTACCCAAGCCTGTCTGATAAGCACTAGAAGCAATTCTAAGACAGAACGTGCTCCTATGGGAAAAGGAGTATAACATAAGTGGATATGCCTATTTGAGGACTGGCAAGTTGACTTCACACAGATGCCTAAAACCATAGAAACTTTAAATTTTTAGTAGTTTTTGTAGACACAATTTTTCGGGATGGGTAGAGGAATAACCCACTGGAACTAAGAAGGCAACTGAGGTAGAAAAACTTCTACTCAAAGAAGTAATTGCTATGTTTAAACTCCCTTATAGCATTCAAAGTGACGATAAACCATTGTTCACTTCAGAAATCTCCCAGAAAGTAGGACATGCACTACAGATTCAATGGAAACTACATGCATTTTGGAGGCCTCAATCTATGGGAAGAATGAGAAAATGAACCATACAATAAAGACCCTGCTGAAAATATGCAGGAATCACATTTGAAATGGGACCAGGTACTCTCTATTGTCTTGCTTCAGGGTAGGGGGGTGCCCCAAAACACACTCAAACCCTTTGAGACAGTTTATGGGAGACCCTTCCAAGTTCCTGTTTTAGGGACACCTTCTTTGGATTTAGAACATGAATTAAAAATCAAACAATATGTATGACAACTAGGGCAAAAGTTGACAATTTTGCACAAGTTTTCTCCTTGCAGGTCCATCTACCTATCTGACAGGCTCTTACACGCATTCTAGCTAGGAGACCGAGTCTTAATAAAGACCTGAAAGACTCAAGGTGCAGAGCAGCAGTTAGCTGAGCAATAGACCAGTTCTTATGATGTCCTGCTGACAACACACTCCTTCCTAAAGCTCACGGGACTCAGTCCTTGGATCCACCACACACAGATGAAGTGGGTACCACCTGAGGAGGATTCAAATCTTGCTGCAGCTGCTGATACTGCAAGGGAAAGCTGGACCTGCACTCCTGATAGACTTTTAAAATTCCTCTTTAGGATAGGGACAGCCTCCCAAAGCTAAGTGACAACGTGACTTTTCATTTTATTCTGCATTTTCCAGAAAGGGACTTCCTTAGCAAACTTATCCTGCTATTGAGAGTGACACCCAAAGCCATGCTCAGGATTAGGTTATGGGGGTCCTTTAGTCTCTCCAGTTTCTGATTTCACTATATTTCCCCACATACACACTACAAGGAATACCCCTCACTAAAGATTTGATTGTTTGTCTGCACAATAGGTCTCATTTGGAAGCACCGCCTCTTGCAATATGAAGCACTTAACCAGCTCCGCTAGTTCAGTAGCCCCATCCTCACTGCGTATGCCATATTTGGAAGACAACAATCTTCCTCCTGTAAAGGCTCCCCTATATTCTTGACTCTTCCCCCCACTTCCTTTATTAGACAGTAAGAATCCCTGGACCCAGGCATAGATGAGAGTATGTGTTTGGCAGCAGGAAGAAACCACAGAAGATGAGACCTTCATTCATTTACCCTGTGAGATTGCAAGGATCCAGAATTTGGAAAGGGGGAGTTGTTACATGGGTGCAGACAGTCATCTGGGGCCCAGGAGAGTGTCTCCCATTGGCCAAGATGGTGTTAGGGGGAGGTTCTTACACTGAGCTGCCAAAAGCTAGTGATATGAATGGATAGGGCCATGAGTACACCAAGAGCTAACAAGATAATCAGATAGGGGGAAAGCCCTCCCTATCCAGATAAGAACAGCAGGCTTGAGCAGGAAAAGGAGATGGTCATTGAGACAGAGGGTGAAGGGTTTGCTCTTTGAGACAGGAGCCTGCCATTCTCCCAGGTCATATAGTCCTGAATAAATACTCTTTTCTTTTCCACAAGCACGTGCCTGATGAGTTTGGCTTTCATTGCAGCAGGGAGACAAACCTCTATTTTCTGTTCAGTTATATATAGTGCAGCTGCTGATACCTGGAAGGGTTTTCTGAAGCTGATGTGATCTAGACTCAGAGCCTTTGTGGTTGCAAATAAGGTGAGGAAGCTCCAGTTGCTGGATATATTTTCCAATGTATCTTATTATACCCTTATTATGAAAAGGTATATTTTTGCCTATGTTAAGAAGTATGTCTAATAATTATTTGTATGTAGCCTAAAGAACTGGACCTGTACGCTTTTCCTATAGGTCTTTTATATCAAGAACTGCCATAGTGTTTACAGCACCAAACCTTTCCTAGCTTTCCCTA